GCAGGCTCTCCAAGAACGGGGAGATCGCAGTGGCGGCTCGTCATCCGAAAAGTAGACAACGTTCCTTATACTTTTTTCATTCACTACAATCTCAGACTTGCTAATGAATGATATGGAAAATTCTCACACAAAGTTTGTATGTCACTCCTTGAATGTAAGGAAATGGTCAAACACAAATTGCAAATTTTAAGGGCTGTCCACATTTCATTTCTCAATTTTCTCCTCGCTTAATATGATTGTTTAGTTGCACTGCATAATTATCCTATTTGAACATCATTCTTGTAATGCACTGCATAAAAGGCATTATTGGAAACTACGAATTTCATTCATGTTCACTGAAGTGAGAAACATGTACGATTCTTGTCCTTCACAGGGTATAGTTAGCGAAGATTAATGATGACTCATTTGATGATGATATCATTTTTACTTTCCTGTACACGTACGTATAAACTGAGGTATTATATTAGTTTTCGCGCAATATTGTGTTCAATTCGTGCAATTTTAAAAAGTTACAAAAACAAGATTTTCTCAAAAATGGATCTAAATTTCTTCTGTAAACTGTTGGTAGGAATAGTGATAAATGTACTCTATAAGATGACATAAACATCAATTGACAATGACAATATGGGAAACGTAATTATGTTTCTGGGTTTGTAGGCCGTAGTCCAACGGAGACTGGTCCATACGCTTCGGCTGCAACTGTGGCAGACATCATCAGTGGCGTTGCTGGCAAGGGTGAAGTGTTCTTGGCAGCACTGCGTTGACTAAGTCAGTCAGCATCGCGTTGACTAAATCAGTCAGCACCAAGTTGAATGCAAAACATTTTCAATATAAAATAGAATGTAGATTTGTTTATAAATTTCTTATAACAATGTCTTGGGAGTCAATAAGATAATAACTAAACGATCCTTGACTTCTTATTCCTGAATCATCGCCTGGAGATGCAATTGTAATTATAATTTGTATGTACACCACATTATTTCTTCCAACATTTGCTCTTTAAACAGTTACAACGTGCCGTGTATAACAATATAATACTGTTTGACAACACAAATGATGGATTAGAACCTTTCATAATGTGTCATATACCGAACACTTGTATGCAGTGAATATTTCAGCGACAAAAAAACGGGGAGCTGCAGACTGAAAGTACACCGTTCAAAACAAAAACGTCTCTGCCATTTAGAATGTAATTTCTGTTTTTTAATTCATAATTACTCGAACCCTGAAGGAAGAAACAGTGTCTTATTTTAAAGCGCCAATCGCAATCACGCTTTAAAATGTATTTATAACTGTGTTATATTTCGAAGACTCTTTGTATTAAAATGATTTATTTATTTACGACGAAAACAGTTAAAAACTATGTATGAAGTGCTATGGAGTGAAGTTAATTTGAAGTTTTATTAGGGTTATCCTAAAGTTTCAGAAACATTTTATATGAGTTTGAAATCTTGTATCTCTTAAAATATCAAAAGGATAGAGTAAAACTATACCCTTGCCTACTGCCTTATTTTGACAGTTTTGAAAGGTACAATAGGTATCTTTTGGCATGTGGCTTAATTTAAAGCTTGGAATATGTGCAGTAGATTGTACGTGGCAGTTTGGCAGACGTAATGGTTTTCATGATGTATGTTCTTTGTTCATACGAGAGACGAAAACCATATTATTACTATTATAAATTTAGCGTCTTAAAATTAAAACTGTATGGGAAGTTCTATGTGGAGAAGTGTACCATGTGCACGTTTTCTTCAGCTCTGGGATGTCTACCATATCTCCTATACTATATTAAGTTGAATGACATACACCGGTGGAAACGGGCGCTTTAGACTTGATAAGGAAATGCATTTCCACTCATGTAATAAAAACTATTTCGAAAGGCATATGTTCCACTTATTGTGAATCCTATCTCTTATCGTGCCCTTAATGAAAGAATCGATTTACTGCTGCGGTAATATGCAGAACGTTTTTCCGAATAACTACTATATTCCCCGATAACTAAGTTCGGCCATTATCCATAATAAAATGTAGCCTTTATGTTTACACAATCTACAGAATTTCGCGAAAGTGATTAATGAAGTTGATGTAATCACTTTATTTAGCATTTATACATATATAATTTTAATCAAAGTGATGCGATTTAATTTTTTAAATAATTTGAAGAGTATCTCGAAGCCCTCCTATCCAGGTCTCGTGTTGAAATTATTTTTAATATATTCCTGAAATTAAGTTTCATTTCGTGAAGTTTTAAGTGAAAATATATAATCATGCATGAAATCTTACTTGATACCACTCATGCATGGGAAACTCAGACCTTACTGTCGCTAAGTGACTCGAATTTATTCTCGATTTTCCATGCACAATGACATTACGTATGAAATCTAAAGTCACTAATTTGATTGTGGGTGATCCGTGTATTCAAGTAAAAGGATTTAGAGTAGCTGTTCGTTTCTGAATACTCATGGTGTAGAGTGGGAGAACAATTTCTAATGCAATAGAAAGTGCAAAAAGGACCCTGTGTACAATACGGCAAATAAACTCATTTTGCCGGGATATTCCTCCACAGTGGCCTATCCCATGACCGGCTTGTAACCGCTATATTTCACCAGACCTGTCAGGTTATCCCCCTCCCTTGCCAATGTACCAAACTGAACTAGGCTTTCTGACGTTACTCGTAAAAGTAACTTAAAACGGTATGACACCAGCGGACTAAGTTTTCAACAATTACAAACCGTGTGAATTATTTTTGCCTCTCCAACGCCATGAAGAGTAACATGGTAGGTGTTAAAGTAAATGCTCTAATTACGCCATACTTTTGCATTAATAGAGTTAAGAAAAATAACTACGTTCGGCTATTTTATAACTAATGAAGGTAGAAAATTGAAGTTTGACACAAGCAATGTCAATAGCATTAAAATTGGAATAATTTATGGAATTTAAATAGATTTTATATGGAATGTTTCAAGAAGGGTGTAAATTCAAATGTTCAGGAAAGAGTCCAAAAGTAGGAAGAAGTATATTATAGGTAACATCAATGAACGTTAAGTCATGATGTTCGGAACTTTTTGAAAGAAAAATTCTAACGCAGGATTCGAGTGGTATGAAAGTGCAACAATTTTTATAAAACTTGTTTTATTGCAGGAATGTGGAACAATGCACATGCATATAAAATGTATACCTAGGGATTGAAGTACAGAATTTCTAAAATTACATAACTTAAAATTACATTCATGAAACTAAATACGAAGCAGTGTTAGTCCATATGAGAACCTGGGCAAACTCTGGCCAGACATCTTCCAGCCGCGCGAGGCGGCCAGCACACACAGTCCACTACACGCTGCCGAGCACCGTTGTACACCTGAAACAGACGAAACTGGGGTTCAGAACTGCAGCAAATCAAACAGACCCACCTGGAGCATCCGCTGTCAGTTATGCGAAGGGTCTGTACTGTCCGGGTGGCGCCGCGTCAAGGTGGCGACTAAGTTACAACTATGTTTCACTCCAAAACTACAATCCAATGGTCTAAACCTCAGTAATAGATACCCGACGCGGCGTCACGCGGGTAGCCTCTTGAAAGCGTTATCGAAAGCACGCTCTACTTCGCTTACCTCGTTCGGGGCCATCGACACGCACGGAAAGAGCGCCTCCGTCACGTCCAGAGTCTTGCACAAGCACCAGTCTGCGCAGGACACGGGCGGTCGGCACAGGACCGCCACCGGCCTGCACACCGCGCTCGCCAGCAAGGCCACCTTCTCGCACGCCGTTAAGGCCCAGCCGACCACCGGGTAGGCCTTGGCGCCGTCGTACACGCCCAGCAAGGCTCGCACCGCGGGCAGGCTCCCCACGCGCCGCGCGAACGCGCACCCGCCGGCCGCCGCCCCCGCGCCGCCCTGGGGCAGGGCAGGAGACCTCGTGAAGGTGGCGGACGAGACGACGGAGCTGGGCGAGGAGGGCGGCAGCAGCAACGCATCTCCCTCCGCGCCCGCGGGGCCGCCTCTGGCCGGGCTGCCCGATGGAGACGCAGCCTCAGAAGATGCAACTGCGGCCGACTGCGCGACGGACGAACTGGTCTTTGGAGACTGCATTGCGTTGCCTGCACAAGAACAAGTTTTATTAAACGTCGAAAACAGACCAACGGTGCCACGGAGAGAAGTATTCTATGCAAGTCTTCGTAATTCTGCGATACCTAAACAAGCAGCCGAGCCATATACAAGTTGAATTCTGCATACAGAAAAACCACGTTTTGGCATAAAACTTTTACAATATTTACCCTATATAATGAAATATTTAAGGGCAAGTCAGCTATAGATTTGGGTTCTTATCCCCCTATCTTTCTTGAAGGAATGTACTTCCTGCTACGACAACTATGAGAACGATAATCTGAAAAACTATTTCCCCCCTGACTTCTAGAAGACCTGCACAGATATTGAAATTACATTTTTAACGATAAAGTATCAATAAAGACACTATAACCATACTAATCGTATAGCATAAACACGCATACTTACACGATAAATTCCTAATCTCCAAGTTTATTCCTGCTGGTTTCACCGCGGATGTACTGCTGCATGAACTGGCACGATCCTCTTTTAAAGCAAGCGGATCGCCGACGAGCAGTTGTGCACTCGCCTTTGTCTTTGCCCGATAGCCAATAAGAGCTCGAGTTTACGTTTCCAGTTATTTGCGCGCCATGCTGTGTTGTGTGGAGAAATAGATTTCACAACATAATTCAATACATAAATGGCATTAAACACAATTATATACAATATGTAAAAATAAGAACTAATAAATTATTTGTGTTCTCTTATGTCATTATGATTATTGATTTTACCAAACACCGGAAACTGATATTTTGACATCCATACGTTCGCTATTTTATTATTTGTTTATAAAGCAATCTTATTATTTTTTTATATGATATATTTGAAAGATACATACAAGAAGGCTTCTGAATATAACTTATATTTTTAGAAAAATCTATTGTAGATCGTATTGTGTAGAGTCGATGATTTTCCTTCCAAGAAGGCAATTTGTATCAGAAATTTGATACTACTTAAACATTTTAGCATGCAACAACAGTGTATTATAAATACTATTACTAAAATAGTATTTATAATACAAGATTAGTTTTTTTAAGACAGCAAAAATATTTTGTGGAACAATAATATTATGGTAGGTTTTTCACAAATTATCAATATTATAGATTCAATGACCCTGAATTAACATTTGCAATGATTGCTGCATTGTTTTCTTGTAGAATTCAAAATGAAAACCATGATGCCATACTAAAAAAGGGGGAACTTTAGGGGGGCAGAAAAGGAGAAGCAGAGAAAATATGAATAATAAACAATGAGATAAAAAGTTACAAAGTAAAAATTAAAGTACTATGATAGGTGAAATAAGGGAATGATGAGGAAAATTAATGAGCTAGTGTACGAAACAGTGGCTAAAACCAACAATTAAAACGATGAAGAAGGAAAGAAAGGGAAAGGGCTGGAATGGCGGAACAGGGAGTGCAGAGAGAATAAAAAGGAATTAAGGGGGATGATGAAAAAATACAGAAGAAGTGAGATATATATAAAGAGAATTAGAAGCAAAAAGAAATATCAACTTCCAGGCAAAAGAGGAAAAGAACAGGACATTGATAGATGAATGAGAGGTAGAGGAGGTGAGATCAGTCACACAGTTGGAAAGTGATAAGTCAAAGGAATTTGGGTAGAACATAAACAAAGGTAGGGGATGGGGATGGAGAGAGCATTGTATGGAACATTTATAACGGAGATGGAAGAAATAAATGGGTAAGGATTTTTTACAGTGGAGGGTTTGAGTTGATGAACGAGTTAGAATCAAAGCGATTCGATAATTGATAAGAAAAATGGAAAAGGAAAAACAAGAGGGGTAGACGACATAGTTTATGAAGATGGATATAAGGGGAGGAAGTAAAATAAGATATTTTAAGGAACTTTTTGAATAAAGTAGGTTCTGAAAAAGGACTCACAGAGGACTAGATGGAGAGAATCATTGTAAAGAATGGATCAAAAAGGAAGTCGAAAGTTATAGGGTTATAACAAACATGTCATTAACGTAAACAATCTATGGAGAAAATTTGTAACGGAGATTAGAAAGACTAATTTGACATATTCGTTCGCTTTACAGAGCTACAGTAATTAAGTAGATTGACGGAAGACCCCTATAATGAAGTTTCAATCATTTTGATACTGGGGCAATTAAGTAAATCAAATTAATCTTTATTTCTGCGCAGCCTTTTGCCAATTAGACCTTTCATTTTTGTAAAATGTCCTTCACAAGTACCAGTGGAAAACATGAGTTATCCAGATACTCTATCGTTACACTTACATTCAGAACCTACACCTTTCCACTCGTGAAATTAAAACCAGTAGTGTTTAACTATACAAGCAAAATGCCCCAATGAGGGGGTGTATCTCAAAAAGTTTATCGCTTTTTTCTATCCTATTTTTCTTACCGCTTCTACCAACTGGTCAACCGAAAGCTGTGACTCATTTATCTTAGGAGACGTTACACATCGATCGCTATGTCGATGTCCAATAAATAGTGTTTGTACTACAACATAACCTCTGATTTTAACATTCGATTTCAGTTATTTTCAATCTTTGGCGCATTTTGAAATTCTGTTGGGACATCTTTCACTCGTGGAATAGTCCTTTTAAATGCCACTCGTGCTTTGGAAATTCTCAGATAAATCACCCCTCGCTTCGCAGTCTGCAATTTATCGACATTTTCTAAAGCACTCGTGATATTACCTATGGAAATATTGTAGCTTGTATCTACTTTAACTATTATTTATTGTACGTCAAAAACACAGTTGAAAACTGTGTGACGTACTATGGGGAGAACTGTATTTCTTAAACAGTGGGATCTGTCCCCTAACCCATAACAAGTTGAATTATGCACACAGGTGGAAATGAGCGTTTTTGGCAACTTGCATGGCATACTTCCTGACTCTTGCAATGTTACAATTATTTTATTGCAACTCCGCGGCAGCCACCCGTTCTTCCACTTCATTCTTTAACACTTCCTCATCATTCGCTCCGCCTGTTGTCCACGAGGCTCTCAACCACATCACACCACTTGTCTCGCGGCTGCCACTCATCATTACGCGCCTTCTCAAGGCGCTCTCTTCGCGGAACGCCTGCGTCGGAAGAAATGCCTACTATTGAGTGGACAATTTCTGCGCTGAGTGGCGTATTGTGTAATTTCCAGGCCAGAAACCAATTACGAAGAGCTACGCGGTCAACAGATTTGTGTAGGTTACTAGCTCATGCATACTTGCAGTAACAACGTACCTATTTTAAAACCCGAAACCAATGTATTTTAAAACCGGAAAATATGTGGTAGAAGTGTGGAAGTATTTTGTTTCTCCAAAGGATATATCATTTTAATGCATGTATATGCGCATCATATCTTAAGGAGATATTCTAGCATTTTGGGCGCGATATGTTGGGACACCTTTCTACACACTCACATTTGAACATACTTGAATTAAAACAGGCTTAATGATTGCAATGTTCATCCAATTAAGCATATTTGCATTCGCTCCATTCATTGAATTAAAACGTAAAAATTGTTACAAAACACGCAAAAGATTTTCTTCGATGTACGAAATAGGAATAAATGGAATTTCACTAACAAGGAGATTAATAAAGTTTCCAGAAATATCCTTGTCACATAGAATATTCCAGCCCACCTCAAAAAAGGCTTCAAACAGGTAATAATAAAAAACAAAAGTAAATAAAATAATAAATGTCAATAAGTTAAGTTATATAATTACAGTAAATTATTGTATAATATCATAAATAACGTAACTTTTTTAGAACTTATTTAGAAGAAGCAGAAGTACCCTGCGTTGCCAGGTTATCTTTTAATCATAATCATCCTACCATGATTCGAGCGAACATCGTTTCTACATCCATCGTTGTTATGGGAAGCCTAAACAGATGCATTCTAGCATTCTCCCAGGAAACGTCTTGTACCCAGTCTGACATTAAATTACTCTGAAACTAATTGAGTTATTGGAATGAATCAAAAGCATTTAGAATGAAATTTTACGGACTTTTAGAAACATCTAATTTACTTACGTGGATACACTCCCTGTCTTCGAGCTGCTTACAAAGAAGGAGCGCACACATAATGTCTAAGTAACATAAGGTTAAATTAAATTCCTTTTAAATAGTTAAGTTCCTTAAATTTTTAAGGAACATAACGTAAGGAAAGAGTGTACAATTAGATTTTGCTATAACGAGTAAGAAAAGAAAGTGGGAATAATTTTATGAATCCTCAGACAGATAATAACTTGTTTGGAAGGTCACGTGTGCTCACGAGTACCAAATTTCATTACGATCGAAATAAAACTCTAGATTTGTATAAAAAAGAAAGGAATCAAACTTCTTTATATAATAGATCGTATTAATTTGAAAAAGTAACCTAAGTTGTATACAGTGCTCGAAAAATTACTCTTTCGGTAAAAAACATATCCGAATTAATTTAGACGCTCCAGAGATTACCTCAGACAAACTGATGGACAGAAAATACTGGGAAAACAGTTGAATGGGTTTTTATATCATGAAAAAATGCGACAAAACTAGAGGGGCTTCATTCATTCTCGCAATTATTTCTAATTGCTCCACTATGTAATACTACATAAATCTAAAAAAGTGTTTTCAACCAGCAAATAATTTTTTTCGAACCGAACCTCAAACACAGGTCCTCCGCGCTTACTCGCCGTGAGTCTTCCTTCGACGCTATGAAAGCGCCGTGTGCTTCGAATTCGGGTCGAAACTTAAAAATGTAATTGTCTCAACCCAATATTTTCAACACGCAAGTTTTGCAATTTTGAAAACTACGGAGAGTTTGCCGAAGATAGGACTAGCACCATGTTTTTACCGAACCTTGTTATATATAGGAAGAGCAAAGTTTGAGAAAATCGTTTTTTAGAAATTGTATAAATTTCATACACAAATTACGCAAAATCTACTCGTAATTTTAAAAAATTGCACATGACCTTTTTAAAGAGCCAATTTTCTAGAACAGACTTTGTTTTAGGGAC